CAATCCAAACTGTTCCAAATTCAATGACTCCTGGTGGGGAAAGGCTCCGGCTCCATCCGGGCTGACCTTGGAGAGGCCACCCGGGTTTCACCTGGGCTGGGTTTGTTTCATGGAACACAGAGATCCCCGACTTCACCTTTTTGCATTCCTCGCTTTCATTTCCTTGAAATCTTTTACAAGAGGACGTGACCCAGAGCAGCTGTCACAGTGATGGCCCTGAGTGTCACATTCCTCTGACACAGGTTCTCAGGCCTTCTTCTGCAGCTTCTCCTTCCTCCTCAGCTTTCCTACCAGATTTTACAAGGCTGAAGCAAACACAGCAGCCAGCTGGAGGCTGGAAATAAAAGGCTCCAGAAATTAATATTGATTTACTTTTAATGTGTAGTTTGCTTTAAAAACCCAACTTCCACTGCAGCTATACATAAATTCACCCTTAAAAACCCCGGAACCACAAACATGCTTGGAGCCTGTATCCTGGAGAATCACAGCATTATTTATCTCTGCAGTCCTTCCCACCTCATTCCCTGCAGGCAGTGAGGCTGTGGGAGCTGCAGAGCAGGGCTGGATGGGGACACTGGTGCTGTCCCTTGGGCTGTCTGTCACCGTGGGGTGGGAACGGGCTCAGGTCCTGCCTCCAGACACGTGTGGCAGCCAGGAGGCCCCACCAGGAGAGTGGGATGTCCCACCAAGGGAGGATGTGATGTCCTACCAAGGGAAAATGTGATTTCCCACCATGAGGATGTGAGGTTTCACCAGGAGGATGTGACGTGTATGTCTCACCATGAGGATCTGATGTTCCACCAAGGGAGAACGTGATGTCCCACTTAGGAGAATGTGATGTCCTACCAAGGGAAAATGTGATTTCCCACCACGAGGATAGGAGGCCCCAGCAGGAGGGTTTGATGTCCCACCATGAGGATCTGATGTCCCACCACAAGGATATGATGTCCCACCAAGGGAAAATGTGATGTCCCACCATAAGGATGTGATGTCCCACCAAAGTCAGATCTGATGTCCCACCAAAGTCAGATCTGATGTCCCCCAGGAGGATGTGATGTCCCCATGAGGATCTGATATCCCCATGAGGACGTTTTAGCTCCCCAGTGACGGTGCTTTGGCTCCTCCGCTGCCTGTGTCACCCCAGCAGCGCCCACCTCAGCACAAGTTCCTGGGTGACCCACGAGGAGAGCTGAGAACCTGAGGCACTTTGATTTGCTGGACAACACAACTGCTCCCCTGAGCCTCTTTGTGCACTCCTGAAGCGTTTTATTGGGCTGGAGCAGTGCAAATAATTGATTTTTCCACTCACCACTCACTGGCTAAACCAAAATACGGGAGGGAAGGGGGGAGGAGAAGGAATTGTTTTGAGTTTATTTGAACCAAAAAGTTTCTTTTGATTCAGCGCAATAAAAAAACAGTGGGGGAAAATCTTTCGGGTGGTCAGAGTGAATATTTTAACCCTTTTGAATATCTTTTTTAAAGCATTTGGAGCATGACATTTTTTTTAAAAGATAATAAAACAGAGAGAAAATATTTCAGAAAGGGGAGAAACAGTTGTTTACACTTTTTAAAAATGCTCTTTTTTAAGCACAAGTATTTTCTGAAGTGTGCCCTGGATTTATTGATTCTTTCCGACCTCAGTGTCTCCAAAGGGCATTCTTTCCCCCCCAAAATCCCATTTATTTATTGAAGAGAATGTAGGGGACTCTCTAGTCAGCTGTAGCTCTGACTCAGCACTGGATCTTTGCCTGAGCACCTTGTGATCCTAAAGTAAAACATTTATTTTGTGATCGCTGTACTTTAGGAGCTGTGGTTGTGCCTCTGGCACACAGCTCCGGGCTGTCCTGGGACACAGCCTGTGCATCCTTTGGCACAAACATGGATCACAGGGAAATCCTGCATTTGTTTTCCCTGCAGCTGATGGAGAAGGGGTTGGAAGGAAGATTAAAATACATCGTGCAAAGGCACATCCTCACGAGGTACAAAATCCCTTTGGTTCTTCCCATCCTGCCAAGTCTCACTGAGAACAAAAGGAGAGAGCAGGAGAGGTTCCTGCGCCTGGAATGGCAGAGCCGTGGGTAAATCCAGCAGATCCTGCTCAGGCAGATGTTTTTTATTTAAATTTCTGTGGGTTTTGACTTGGGCAGGTCTCTCAGTCCAGACTGGGCCTGCCTGGAGGCAGAGGCAGCCCAGGGACCTGTGAGCTCAGTGCCTTGGAAGGGTTTGGAGCTCTTTTGGGTCGACATCTGCTTCCAGTTTGCAGTGACAGAGAATCCCACCTGTGTCCTCCTCCCTTTGCCTCAGGCCTGATGCTGTTGCACCATCACCCAAAATGCAGGTGCTGGGAGGACTCTCCCAGCTGCAGGAACCAGAGTCACCCTTCAGGCTTCCTGGCAAGTGGGGATTTTGGGGAGCCCACAAAGTCCATCTTCCTGCAGGAACTGGGAAATCCTCCGCTGACCCCCCAAGCCTGCCCAGTCAGGTTTGCCCCTGAGGCAGCGGGAGGGTGAGGAGCTCTTTGAGGAGGAGGATGGTCGATGCTGATGGAGTCACTGGGCTGTACCAGAGCTTCCAGAGGGATGGGAAGTTTTCCTCGTGCCTTTGGGTCCCTTCTGCACACACTGCTGAGGTGCCAAGAGCCCTGTGTGTCCCTCGTGCCTCCACGAGTGGCTTTGGGCAGCTCTGGTGGCTTTGCTGTGTCCCACTCAGCCCATCCCTGTCCAGGGATGTCCCTTTAGCTCATCCTGCTCAGGGCTGGGAGCTCTGCTGGCCGACTCAGCTCTCCTGGTTCCTTCCCAGCTGTGGGAGCTGCTCTTCCTCCCGCTCAGCCTCCTCCTCCTCCTCAGTGCTGGTGTTTATCCCCACCCAGCTTTCCTCCCCGCAGCTGGAGCTCACCGGGCTCCTTTCCCAGGGCAGTTTGGGCAGTTTGGACTTTGCTGGCTGTGAGGGAGCTGTGCCCGAGCTCAGGGCTGCTCCCGGTGCTGCTGATCCCTGCTGGGAGCTGCAGAGCCCTCAGCACTGCATCAGCAGCTCTAACTGGGAATTAATGAAGTCCTGGGATTTCCCAGCGGCTCGGATGCTCCGTGCTCATTCCTGCCTCGTTCCACCATCCCTCAGCGTGGGGCTGCCGGGCCTGGCTGCTCCCAGGGGATGATTTCAAAGGGGATGATTTATTTGTGCTGCCGGAGGAACCGGGAATGAGAGGAGAGCTCATAAAAAACACCAACTCATTTTCCCCCGAGCCTCTGCGTGTGGCACTATTGAGCTGTAAACATTCCCCAGGTTAGATTGATGAGGACAGAAGGAGAACCGATCATTAGGAGGATTAATTACAGGTTTTGTGGGTTGTGAAAGTCCAGAAAGTTCAGCCCTGCTGGTGAGAGCCGGGAGATCCATCTTGCACATGTTGGCAGCTCCTTTTTTTGGGGGAGCTGAGCCGAGCTGGAGGGGCCGGAGCTGTGGGTGCTGTGCAGGTGTGAGCTGGCCACGGGCCCACAGCCTGGCCACACCTGAGGCTCCACGTGGGAATCCCGGGGATGCTGCTCCACACCCAGCTCCCGTGGGACAGACACCCACTGCCTCTGGCAGGCAGGACAACGCCTTTCCCCAAGGTGACACATCCCCTCTGTCCCTGGTGGCACATCCCCTCTGTCCCTGGTGGCACATCCCCTTTGCTCCCAGTGACACAGGTCCTGTCTGTTCCTGGTGGCACATCCTCTCTGTCCCTGGTGGCACAGGTCCCTCTGTTCCTGGTGCCACATCCCCTCTGTCCCTGGTGGCACATCCCCTCTGTTCCTGGCGGCACATCCCCTCTGTTCCTGGCGGCACAGGTCCCTCTGTCCCTGGTGGCACAGGTCCCTCTGTCCCTGGTGCCACATCCCCTCTGTTCCTGGTGCCACATCACCTCCTGCTCCCTGCAGCTCCCACCCTTTATCTCAGTGCCCATCCGTTCTCTGGCTGGTGGGACAGGAGGGGTGGCAGGGATGGGATCCCTGGCAGAGCCCAGCACCAGGGCTCCCCACGCTTGGGGACATTGCAGGGACCAGCCAGCACAGGCAGCTCCGTGCAAGGAGCTCCCACCCACAGGCAGGGCCGTGCTCAGCCCTGGCCTGCATCCCTGAGGAGCAGCTTCTGAGCAGAGCCCACGTGGAGGAAATTCCTTGGGGAGTTTTCTTCCTGCTGGTGCCCGCAGGGGCCATTGTGTGTGCCCGGGCCAGCCCTGGCTGAGCTCAGAGCTGCTCCCCAGGCCCGGCCGGGTCCTGCCCGGCCTCTGCCCTTCCCAAAGCCGCTGCTGCTCCCCTGGGAGAGGCCAGGGAGCCGGGAAGGAAAGGAGCTGCCCTGCCTTGGGGTGGGACATCTTCCTGCCTGCCACGGCCCCTGGCATTCCCCTCCTCTTGGCCTGGGACAGAACTGCGGGCATCACCAGCTCCTCTGCCACCACAGAGTGCCAAGGCAGCCGTGGCACGGACCTGGGCCACCTCCAGCTCCTGCTGCCACCACAGAGTGCCAAGGCAAAATCCGCTGGCAGGTTAAAGCTCAGCAGTGCCAGACTCAGCCCTCAGCCCCCCAAACCTCAGTTTTCTCTAAATCCCAGATCCCACCCGCTCCAGCACCCCTTCCCCACATGTTCCTGTCCAGCCCTGAGGCTTCTCCCTCTTTTAATGGGGATTGACATTTATTTCCATCAGTGGGAATATATAGAAATTAAACCCTAAAGCACAAGCAGAGCAGTGAGGGCTCATGGATCTTTCCCAGTTGAGGAAATATCCCGAAATTTTGTCATCTGAGTTGGCACTTGGCCTGGCAGTGACTCCCCAACAGGCAGTAAAAGAGATTTACTGTAAAACTGCAGAAAAAATTGTGTCAAGGAATTAAATCATGTCAGAAAAATCTGGGAGTGACCCAACTGCTGACGTGTCTGCCCCGTGCAGAGCCAGATCAGGTTTTGCTCTCAAAAAAAAAACCCACCGAGACCCTACAACAGCACCAGGAAGCCAAAGTTTCCTTTGATCACATCTCATTTTAATGAGGGCAGGTTCCGAGGAAGCGAACAGTACATGTTTCTATCCGATTGCAAACAAGCCAGTACAGAAATGTAAAAAAAATAAACAAAAATAAATATCTCCTCTGTTTCTTTCTCCCCGAGTTCATAGCACAAGGCTGACCTGGCAACAAGATGGATTTACCGCTGCGGCTGGGCAGCGGCCGTGAGAAATCAGATTTTTTGGGATGTCACTGTCTGTGTGGTTTCAGAGAGGTCAGAGTACCCGGAGCTCGGCCGAGGAGACCCTTCCCTGCCAGCCAGGTGAGCAGGTCCCACCTGGGGCAGCCACTGCTCCTCTGGCACACGGAGCATCTCCACCTCCTCTGTCAGCGGCTCCGAGCCAGCGGGAAGAGCTGCAAGGAGAAAAGGGATTGGATTATTTTGGAGTATCCAGCTCCAGCAGCACCTCCCTCCCCACGTGGGACCCCGTTTTCCCTCAGAGCAGTGTTTAAACCACAGCTCCATTCACAAGTTTCATTAAATCTCCTCCTCCACAGGCTCAGCTCTGACCTGCAGATTCTCTTTCTGCCATCGTGCATGCAGATAAACCTCACACAGATAAACCCCACACAGATAAACCCCACTCAGATAAACCCCACTCAGATAAACCCCACTCAGGTAAACCCCACTCAGATAAACCCCACTCAGATAAACCCCACTCAGGTAAACCCCATTCAGATAAACCCCACACAGATAAACCCCCCACAGATAAACCCCACTCAGGTAAACCCCACTCAGAACCAAATTCTACATTTGGACCTGCCCACAGGGTTCCCAGTGGGAATTTGGCTGGGAAATCAGAGGGATGCAAGGGTGTACCCAGGTCAGAGCCTGCGGTGCCCAGGACAGCACAAACGTATCCACGGCTGGGCTGACCTGTCTGGGCTTTCCCAAAATGATTCTTATCCCAGATTTCCTCCAAAAAAATGAAGTGGGGGAGGAATACAGCTACATGTTTCAGGGGCTGATCCAACAGCTAAAAGCCTCGGTGGATTTCAGCTGGATGTTGGCTCCAGCTTTACATAAGAGGAAAGAAATGTAAAGCTGGAGCTGGCCCCGAGGCAGTCCCACGCAGCCTGGATGAGCCCTGAGGGGCAGGAGAAGGGTCCTGGGCAGGGGAGGGCCATGCCCAGAGCATCCGGGCATCACCGGGGTGCCAGCCCCATGGACACCCCACAGACACCCCATGGACACCCCATGGACACCCCATGGACACTCTATGGACACCCCACGGACACCCCACGGGCAGCCCATGGGCAGCCCATGGACACCCCATGGACACCCCACAGATACCCCATGGACACCCCTCAGGCACAGGCAGCTCGGTCCCTCAGAATGCGGTTTGTGCACAGAAGTCCTATAGTCCTGGAAGGGTTTGGGTTGGAAGGGACCTTAAAGATCCTCCAGTTCTGCCCCCTGCCATGGGCAGGACAACTTCCCCTACACGAGGTTGCTCCAAGCCTTGTCCAACCTGACCTTGGCCACTTCATCCCGATCTGTTTGTGCCCTAAAGGCGAAGTGCAGCCCTACAAACACACACTTACCTAGTGACACCCTCCAAGGTTCCCTGAACCCCAATTTCCCGATGAAACCCCTACAAGGCTCCACACTCCCCGTGACCTGGTGACCCCCCAGTCCCCGGGGTGCCGCGGAGTGAGCGGGCTCCACATCCCGCGCGGGGATCGCATCCCGGAGCATCCCGGAGCATCCCAGAGCATCCCGGAGGAGTATCCCGGAGCATCCCGGAGCATCCCGGAGGAGTAGCCCGGAGCATCCCGGAGCATCCCGGAGCATCCCGGAGCATCCCGGAGCATCCCGGAGGAGCATCCCGGAGCATCCCGGAGCACCGCGGACCGCCCGCTCCCCCCGGTTCCCCCCGGTCCCCCCGGGCCCGCTCCGTTGCGTTACCTGGGGCTGCCGGGGGCCGGGCGGGGGCCGGGCGGGGGTCGGGCGGGGGCCGCCCCAGCCCCAGCCCCGCCGGAGCAGGCGCTGCAGGAGGCGGCCGGGACCGGGAGGCGGCGGGGCCGGGCCGGCGGCCGGGGGGCTCTGCCCCGGGGATGGGGGGCTGTCCCCGCCGGAGGTACCGGGGTACCGGAGGGGCTCTGCCGGCAGCTCCCGCCGCCAGAGGTAGGGAGAGCGGCGGACCCCCATCAGCAGCCCCGAGGCGCGACCCACCGTGTGGTACCGGGGGCTGGCGACGTGCTTGTACCAGGCGCCCGCCGGGGCGGCCGGCAGCATCAGCCCCAGCAGCACCAGGGCCCCCCAGGCGCCCCCCGACAGCTGTCCCCTCGCCATGGCGCAGGGCAGGCTGCGGGCAGGGCAGTGCCCGGCCCCGGGCACCCCAGCGACAGCTTCCCCGTGTCCGCGCCCCGCCAGTTTATAGCACCGTCGGGAGGGGCCCCGCGGCTCCGCCCCGGCAGCCCCCGGCCTCCTCCCGCGGCAACCCCCCCTGCGGGATGCCGGCACCCTCCCCATGGCCCTCTGAGCATCCTCGGAGCGTCCCCGAGCGTCTCCCTGCAAGCCGCAGCATCCCGCGCACCCCTGAGCGTCCCCCTTGTTGCCTTCAGCATCCTCCCCATGGCTCTGAGTATCCTCTGAGCATCCCGCTGAAACCCAGAGCAACCCGAGCGTCCGTGAGCATCCTCCCCGTAGCCTTCAGCATCGTCCTAATGGCCTCGAGCATCCTCTGGGCATTCCCCCGCAGCCTGGAGCATCCCAAGCATCCGTCAGCATCCTCCGCCTTCCCCGCGGTGAAGGGCTCAGGGCCATTTGCAGTGGCTTTGTCAGGCTGCTGCCCTCCTCCTCTGCCACTCAGCTCTTCTTAAATACGATATCACCATCAATTCTGCCTTTGCAGCCAGCTGATTTCACCCTCCCCAGATTCCCTCATGAAATCAAGTTTATGCTCATCAGAGAGCAATTCCAGTTCCTCCTGTTTATTAGGGAATTTCTTGGCTTTATACGCTAAACTAGGACTAAGTAATTTCTGGGTTTTTTTTCAGGCCACACAGAGATTAATTTTTATCTCAGCATTTTAGAATTATGGAATAGTTTAGTTTGGAAAGGACCTTAAAGCCCATCCAATTCCACCCCCTACCATGGCAGGGACACCTTCCACTATCCCAGGCTGCTCCAAGCCCTGTCCAACCTGACCTTGGACACTTCCAGGGATGAGGCAGCCACGGCTGCTCTGGGCAGAGGTTGGAATTTCTCCTTGTGGATTTTATTTTAACATGCTCCAAGGGAATCCCATCCAGGCTGCTTCCCATCATCGGGATCCCCCAGTCCTTCAGCATCCAGCCCCCTCTTCGTCCACCCAACAAGCACAAGTTCCCAGTGGAAACTTTCTCTGTCAGCCCAGCCTGTAGTTGCTGGTGCTCTGTGCCACTCCACTCTGGGGGATGTTTTTCCAGGCTCACACTGGGCACAGAGCCATGCTGAGGACCCCTTGGAGAGTGGGATCTCAGCCAAGCAACGTCCTGCTCCTGTAGGAACCAGCCCCTTGGCCTGGGAGGGATGGGCAATGCCAGCGTGGATTTTCCTCTGCTGAGAAGGCTGGGAGTGACTGCAAATCCCAGTCGGCAAGAGGGGGATCCAGCCTTGTGTGAGAGGATGCTGGAAGTTACATCTGTGCAGAGCACAGCTCCTTCCTGTAATGAACCAGAGCAGAGTCCAGCTCAGCCACGGCTCAAGTTCTTGGAAGCGCCCAGGTTTACAGTAAAGATGAGGCTGGCTCCGTCTCACTCCGAGCCAATCCCTGCTGGATGGGCTATTTTTGTCACCCCTTGAGTGCTCTGGACATTAGAAGGGCCTCAGCACTTTGCTGTTTGCTGGAGCCATTAATGAATGGCAGCGGTACAGCGCATCCCCGTCACCGGGCACGGGACATGCGCTGCCTGCAGGGCTCTGCTCCTCCGGCTAAAGCCATTACACTCCCTCCTGCCCACCAGGAAGGATCCAGCAGGAAGCACCTGATGCTCCTCTTGGCTTCTTCTGCACCTGCCCTGTGCCCAAACCAAGGCAGGTTCAGCAGCTCCTGTTTCACTGCAGCCACGCTCCAACGTGGGCTCAACCTTCCCAGCCAGGAACAGAAGATTTTTTCATTCCCAGGGATCTGCCAGAAGTGTCTTTTCTGTGTGTTTTTGGTGTGACTTGGGTAACTTGTCACCCTGATAAACTCTCCATGAACTGAACTCTTTCCTCCTGGGAATGATCCCTGCTGACAGCCAGCAGCTCTGTCTGCAAGGCGCCGAGACCCTGGGGATACAGCACGGCTCCGGATCTCCAGCAGAGCGCACGTTTCCTCTCCCAGCAATTTTTAAATATCTTTCCAACGAAACAGCTGATAAGCAATTTGTCTTCTATTTATATTCTAAGTAAGTAAAGATAATTTTAGGATTCTTCTTCCCCTCGCAGAAGCCGATGCTCCGCAAATACTGTAGCACGTCAGCGGGCACATGGCACCGTGCTGCTCTGGGGTGGGCTTGTGCCAGGAACTCCCCCAGAGGAGCAAAATCCTGATTATTTTTGGGAGATAAAAAACTTCTGAACAAGTCCTGGTTCCTATGGAAGTCTTGTACAGACTCACAGGAATACGAGATTTCAGCCTCTCAGGTCATTTCCATAGCTGCAGGTGTTTATTGACCCCGGGCAGGGTCCAGCTGACCCCAAGCCCTTTTGGAAACCCCATTTTTAGGTTTTTATTTAAACCCTCAGATTTTGGCTCCAGCATCACATTTCCCAGCCACACTGACACAGCTCCCAGTGCTGTGGTTCATCCCAGTGCTCGGATGAACCCTTAATGATGTCATTCCACTTTGCTGAGGGGAAGGGGAATGGGATCATCACTGAATCACAGAATCAACGGTTTGAGTCGGAAGTGACCTTAAAGGCCATCCAGTCCCACCCCTTGCTGTGGGCAGGGACACCTTCCACCATCCTGGGTTGCTCCAAGCCTTGTCCAACCTGACCTTGAACACTTCCAGGGATGGGGCAGCCCCAGCTTCTCTGAGGAACCTAACCATAGGGATTTACCACATGGCTCTGCTGCTGAAAGGATTTAAGGTTTTCTTCTTTTATTTTGGAACAAAATCACTTCTTTTATAAGAGGAAGGCTCTGCTGCAACTCCCATCCTGCTGGATGCTAGGGTTCTCCAGAGGGTGCCTCCAATTTCTGCACTGCACCCACCATTTCCACCACAGCTCCAGGGCATGAACTGGGATTTCTGGCAAACATCCTGAGGGACCCCTCGGCTGAGGGGAGAGAGGGGTGAGCAATTGGAGGCACCACATCTTCACCCCTGCAATAAACCCAGCTGAGCTCTCCAAAGAGCCTCTCCACCCGATTTCATTCCTGTTGTGCTCTCACCTCCCACCACACACATTACTGCAGCCACTCAGGATTTGTGGCTTTGGAGAATGAGCTAAATGAATTTGATGTCCCAGAAAGAGGCACTTGAAAGCTAAACCGGTGGGGTTTAATGACAGCATTTTCCACATTTTTATGATAATGTCTCTGGTATTTATTGGAAGGTTAGCAACTCAGCCGAGCAGGAAAACAAAGCAATCGGAGAGGCCATGGAGCCTCTGCACTCTTGGGCATTAATGCCTGCTCTATTCATGACATTTTTTGGCCATTTGGGCTCTCCAGAATGTCCCTGTGGGAGTATGAGAGGATGGAGGTGCCATCACTTGGATGAAGGGCAACAGATCCTGCCCTCCTGCACTCTGCAAACTCATCCAACTCTGCTAACTGTTCTTCAGGCTGGGGAACTGAGGCACACAAAACGTTCAGCACATTGCCAAAGACCACCCAAGGAATGGAAGTTTGGCCCAAGTAACTTGGAACCTGCTGCTCCAAGGGCCTTCACCTGGCCACCGCCTGCTCTGCCTTCCTGTGCAGGTTGGCCTTGGAGAGGTGGACACAAATCAGCCAAAAGCAGCTGCACCGCTGTGAAATCAGCTGGAGGCACAGAACTGAAGTTGAAGGTTGGAGAGGGATGAGTTTTGCTGCCCATGCCATAGCAGGCAGTGCCAGGCACTTGCCAAGGCGGAGCACAGCCGGCGCTGCCGTGAGGAGGTGACTTTCAGACGGGGTTGGAAGCTCAGCAGCTGAGCGAGCTGGGACTGCAAGTGCCACTCAAAACTGTGACATTTTTGTCACGTTGTGTGAACACCCTGCTGCCCAGGTCGCTGCTCTGATTGCCCACTGCTCCACCTCTGCCCAGACACCAAATTCCTGCACTTCCCCTCCCTCCCCAGATTCACATCCCTGCTGCCTCCTGCATTTCTTCAACCTGGGAGTGAGCAAAGCCTTGATGGCAAGAAAAAGATATTCCCACACATATGGCTCAGTAAATCCTGATGTTTTCCAACAGCCATCCCACTGCTGAGCTCCTGGGGAATCAGAACAGTGTTTGTGTGGGGCTGGGATGAGGCACTCAGCCAGGGGGACCCACACAGCCTCGGTGCCTCAGGTGCTGGGGTGGCAGCACTCCAGAAAGCCCCAGCAATAACAACCTTTGCCATTTTCTTGCATCTTGAGTGTGTCCTTGTGTAACAAACTCGGATCATGGAGCAATTCCTGCCCCCGGTGATTCAGAACGTGATTAAACGCTATTTGTCTGTTCCTCTGAAATAAAGGAGCTGTAGCTGCTACAAACAAATTACGGTTTCAAGCTGTGAGGTAAAACACACCTTGACTCCTGAGAAAGCTGCTGCAGTCTTGGGTGGCTCTGAAGAGAAAGAGGAAACAACAAGGGGTGTTTTCTAATGTTGCAGATCTTGCTAAAGTGCACTAAATTAATTATTTTACTCCTAAGAAACAACTCATTCCCCACTATTTTTAGCCTCACACACTATTTTAAGAGGTTTTGTCTTCAGGGTCCAGTCACGTGAAGTTAAACAGAAGGCAGTGAAGTCTCCAAAGGATAATAAACTATCTCAAATTACTTTGCTAATGGAACAAAGAGTACTGTAAATGTCACACAGGATAGAACAAGAGCAGGAGAAACCTTTACACGAAACAATGGATCCATTAACACAAAGGTAAGGAAAAAATCCCGCAGACTTGTGATACTTGTGCAGAGCTTCACAGAGCTGCTGCTCCAAGCCAAGGGAATTTGTTTCCTCACTTGGATTCTGTGCTGAGCTCACACCACAATCACCCACACTCTCAAGGCATTGATCCTTTAGGATTTCAAAGCCCTTTACAGACAAGAGCTAAGCTCCAGGTGAGTCAGTGGAATTATTTCTGCTTCAAACCCAGGTACAGAGAGGGAATCACTGAATCACTGATGGGAGACCAAAACCAAACCCAGGTCCAGACTCACCAAACCCACCGAAGGGTCCTCACCTCCAGCTTAACAAAGTTGTCCATCATCCTACAAGCTGCAGGAGTGACCCTTCACTCCTGAGGTGACTCACCAGCTGGAGAACCCAGCTCTGATGGGGCCTCTTAGGTGAGAGGATGGACTGTGAGACACCATTGCTCACCCTGCCCCGTATTTTGCCTCTCCTGCGCTTGGCAGAAGATCAAAAGTCTTCAAACGCATCAAGGGCTGCAGCAGCAGCATCACAGCGTGGTTTGGGTGAGACATAACACCACCAAGGAGCCATGATGAGAAATTCCCCACCATGTGGGATGCCAGTGCTGCCTGAGGAAAGCAGCAAAGACAAAAACTCTTGAGAAGAAGGGAGAAAAGATGTCATGGGCTGCTGTCTGAAATGTGAGCAGATCCTCAGCCCCCTCCAGTCCATGAGTCAGGCTTTCTCCTGGAAGTAATTCCCAACCCCACCAGCGAGTTAATACCCAGATGTGTGAAGTGCAGAGTAAATTTGGCTCTG